TCACCAGGTAGCCCGCCTCGGCCGCCCTGGGCACCAGCTCGGTGCAGGGCGCCGAGCCGTTCTGCAGCGGGTAGAGCACGAAGGGCGAGTTGTCGTTGTCGTCCAGCACCAGCACGCGCACCAGCGCCTGGCTGCTCAGCGCCGGCGAGCCTCGGTCTGTGGCGCCCACGCCGAACTCAAAGGCCTGCAGGGCCTCGTAGTCCAGGGACCGCAGGGCGAACAGGTGCCCGTTGTCCGCGTTGATGGACACGAGGGAGGCGAGGGGCAGGTGCGGGTCGTGGGGCGGCAGCAGCGAGTAGGTGACCTGGGCGTTGGCGCCTGCGTCTGCGTCTGTGGCGCTGACGGTGCCGATGTGCAGGGCGGGGCTGTTGTTCTCGCGGACCCGCAGGGTGTAGGAGGTTTGGGTGAAGGCGGGGGCGTTGTCATTGACGTCGGAGACCAGCAGGGTTATGTTGTGCTGGGTTTTCAGCCTGGGGGATCCCATGTCGGTGACCGTGATGGTAATGTTATATTCTGATCTTGTCTCTCGGTCTAGGGCTGTGTATGTCACTAGCGTGTAAAAATTCTCAACAGAAGGTTTAAGGAAGAAAGGAAGGTCCTCTTGGATGGAGCAAACCATCCTTCCATTGTCTCCCGAGTCAGGATCTGAAACACTGAAGACTGCAATTATGGTCTCCTGCAAGTTTTCTGCGATCTCACTGATAAGTGTTGACATGGTCAGTTCCGGAGGGTTGTCATTCAAATCCATCACTTGGACGAACACCACACAACTTCCAGAAAGGCCTCCACCATCTGTCGCCTGAATATTTAATGTGTAAGTCTGAATGGATTCGAAATCCAATTTCTGTGTTAAAAGGAGTTCTCCCGATTTTGGATTTATGCGAAAAGTTTTGCGAATATCTTCAGAGGCTTGGGAAAATACATAAGATATTTCTCCATAGGCTCCGATGTCTAAATCTCTAGCAGAGACGATGGCAACCTGGGATCCAATGGGGCTGTTTTCCAGGACCTGCACCTCATAGAGCAGCTTTGCAAACTCGGGGGCGTTATCATTGATGTCCAAGACTTCAATGCGGACCAGGGCGGTGCCCGACCTGGGTGGAGTCCCGCCATCTAGTGCCATGAGGGTTAATCTGATCTCAGGCTGTTCCTCTCGATCCAACGCTTTGTCCAGCACCAGCTGTGGTAAGATTATGCCGTCGGAACTGTTTTGTAATTTAAGATGGAAGTGCGAATTGGGGCTGACTGTGTAACTTTGGAGACTGTTGCTTCCTACATCTAAGTCCTGTGCACGTTCTATGAGGAAAGTAGTTCCGAGAGGGATACTTTCTGAAATTTTCAAAATTATTTCTTTGTCTAGGAAAACCGGGGAGTGATCATTTATGTCCCTAATCCGTAGGTCGGCCTGAAAAAACTGCAAGGGATTTTCCAATAACACCTGGAAAGGTAGTACACAGGGCTCTGTAGGCCCGCACAGCTCCTCCCGGTCCAGTTTCTCATTTAACAGCAAATCCCCGGTCTGCCTATCCAACTGCAAACGCAATTTTTTCCCTTTGGAAATGACCCGAGGCCCTCGCGCAGCTAGCTCATCTACCTCCAGCCCCAGGTCTTTTAACAAATTGGCCACAAAAGAGCCACTCTCTGTTTCCTCGGCCACTGAATAGTGCCTAGGCTCGGCACCAGCCTGAGCTATGCCCAGCAAAACAAAGAATATCAAGACTTGCCTTTGTTTGAGACAGCGTTCCTTTCCCTCTCCGGGCTCCATCGCCTTCTGGTCTCAGCAAACCTGGCCCAGCCCGGGCTCGCGTTGTCGCTGACTCTATCTCCCAGTATCTCGCAAATACTGGGATAAGTGGAGATGCCTAGGGCCCTGATTTCCCGGAGCGACCGCCTTAGAAAGCCTCCCCTTCCCGCTTGCTTCTTTAGCAGAGCATCTGGCTAAAGGAGCGCCGCCTGGTAGCTTTCCGCCTTCTACTTCTAATGCTGCAGCGCCACCCCGCGTCCTTTCCGAGTGTTTATTTTATCCAAAACATTAAGAAAATCTCCATCCTTTCTCTCAGACTGTTAGCAATCTAAATGGAATATATTCAAGTTGGGTCTCCCACTGTATCCAGGTCTTATCTGTGTTTTGAAAGCCTTTGCCATTGCATCCATTACGACATGGCAAGAATAGACAAATTTCCATTCCAGTTTTCTCACAGATCCAAGTGGCTCTTTTCAAATTGGAAAAAATCAACTTCAGAAACTGCAAGGGAGTAACTTCAGTTCTAGGATGAAAGAAGGCTTTGACTAGGCAGTTTCCAGTTTTTATTCAGAGCTGGGGCATGCGCGCATCTCGGTGGTAATTAGGTTACCATCCTCACACTCAAGGCCAACAGAAAAGTATTGAGAAGCAGGAAAGCACAGAATTCAAATGAGAACATTCTCCTGGACACTGAAATATTCTCCTTACTTATATTTCTCTTTTGCACTGCTCCCACTTTACATTTCCCTGAAATTTGAAGTGTTGGAGCCACATAAAATCTCCAGAAGTAGCTGGATAATTTCTTCTTGTGAATGTGCCAATATTTTTATTTTTCCTTTCTAACAGATAAGAGCAATTTTTTTACATAACCTCAATTCAATTATCACATCTAGCAAGAATAATAATTTCATAATATCAAATACCCAGTAAATATTGAAAATTTTCCAATTATCTTTTAAAAATGTCTTTTTAGAGATATTTGTTAAATCAGGTGCCAAACAAGGTATATATATGTTGGATGTTTGTTGTTAGGTTGTTAAAATTTCTATCTTTTTGTGTTTTTAAAAAATATTTTATTAAAAGAAATAAGTTATCAAGCCAAAAAAGACATGGAGGAACCTTAAATGCATATTGCTTGGTGAAAGAAGCCAGTTTGAAAAGGCTACATACTCTATTTTTGCAACTACATGACATTCTGGAACAGGCAAAAGTGTAGACATATTACAAAGATCAGTGGTTGCTGGGGAAAGGGGAAGAGGAATCAAGAGGTAAAACGCAGTGGATTTGGGGCACTGAAACTTTTCTTTATGATACTGTAATGGTGGATACATGACATTATGCATTTGTAAAATCCCATAGAACTGTACAACATAAAGAGTTAACCCTAATGTAAACTACGGACTTTAGTTAATAATAATGGATCAATATTGATTCATCAATTATAATAAATGTACCATGCAAGATGTTAATACTAGGGGAAACTGTGAGTGGGAGAAAGTGGGCATATGAGAATTCTCTCTACTATCTGCTCACTTTTCTGTAAAACCTAAAACTGCTCTAAAAAATAAAGTCTGTTAATTATGTATTTGTATTAAGAAATGTTTCAAATATATAGAAAAGTTAAGAACTGTACAAATATAATTCTACCTCCCATCCAAATGAAAAAATTGTATTTTGCCATATTTGTTCTATCTATATACTTTATTCTACACACATATATCCCTTTTTTTGGCTGACCCATTTGAAAGTAACTTGAAGACATCATGACACTTCACTTCTAAATATCTCCTAAGTATAAGGACATTATCCCACATAATTATAATGCTACTATCACACTTAACAAAATTAACAATAATTCCATAATAGTATATAAAGTCCAGTTCCTATTAAATCTCATTAATTATCCTTCCCCAATTTTCTTCAACTTTAATAAGAATTAATATTCACTCGAGTTCCCTTTACAAATGCACTTACTTTCTTAACCACTTGTTATAAGTAATGTTTTAGAAAATTTGTTTTTTAACCAAGTTTTATGATTGTATCAGGTGATTACGTCTATTTACTCTAGAATAGACCTCCACCTTTTACGATATTGAATTTTTTGAAGTGTCCAGACAAGTTGTCTTGTAGGATACCCTATTCTGAATTTGTCTGATTGTCTCCTCATGGTGTCATTTAACCTGTTCTTCTATTCTCCTGTATTTCCAGAAAACTAGATATTTAGCATAATATTTTTTAAAGCTCTCATTTTCTATAATTGGGTAAAAAAAATGGGCAATTACAGGCACTCTTTTTTAACATTTAGAAAATAAATGCCTACTTGTATTCTGTTGAGATTTTTTAATTTTCATGATTATCACTTTTATATTAATATTATAATAATTCAAAATATTTTAATTCATTGACATTGAGCATTTAACACAATTCATCCAGGTGAACACAACTCAAGACTCAAGTCTTTAAAAACAGTTCTTTATACAGGCTGCAAACCTTGATTAAGGTCAGAAATAGGCGTCGTGAAGATCACTTACATCAAGAAGGTAAATGATGACAGGTAGGTCACCTGAAATTTTACATTTAAACCAAGCATATGATTATTTATTTTTTGTGTGTGTGTGTGAGGAATATCAGCTCTGAGATAACATCCATGCTAATCCTCCTCTTTTTGCTGAGGAAGACTGGCTCTGAGCTAACCTCTGTTGCCAATCCTCCTCCTTTTTTTCTTTTCCCCCCAAAGCCCCAGTAGATAGTTGTATGTCATAGTTGCACATCCTTCTAGTTGCTGTATGTGGGACGCGGCCTCAGCATGGCCGGAGAAGCGGTGCGTCAGCGTGTACCCGGGATCCGAACCCGGGCCGCCAGTATCGGAGCTCTCGCACTTAACCGCTAAGCCATGGGGCCGGCCCCTGATTATTTAGTTTTGATAGATTCTCTAAAGCATAACTAAAGCAGTTATGGTGAATTTGGGGATAACACAAAAGAGAGGAAAGTAGGAAATGCGAAGAAAATTACAAAAATCTAGCACCTCTCACAAGTTGAAGAATTAAAAACTTAATATCTAAGATATTTCAGAGGACAAAATACTCAAGAACACATTAGGTTTTGTTGTACAAAAAAATTTTAACACCTCCCATGATGAGTCATATGTGTTCTCATAATTCGTGAAGTTTCACACTTCTTTCAGTTTCAATGTTATTCATATGTCTAGAAATAAATGGAAGTTTCTCTTTTTTCAGAGATATTTGTAGATGGTTTCCAGATTTCAACGCAGTATAGCCACTACGTTATTTTAAATCGTTTATATTCTTAAACCTTGATGAGAGTTCACATTCCTCCTTGAGTACTCTTTACAAATGCTCTTATTTTCTAAATCTCCATTAATAAGTAATCAATAAGTAATATATATTAGAAATAGAATCTACCATATTAAAAAATCTAAATAAAATATTTATATTATAGATTTATAAATAATTATATTATAAGGAAGGAATCTATTATATAATGAAGAATTATGTCATCACATTAGGTTTAATTTTTTATATTTGACTTCACTTTTTATATACTAATCAGAGAAATTATCCAAGAGTCACTTGTATAAGTTTGAAGAATATTTTTAATAAAATCCAACATATTAAAATATCATACAAATGAAGGAATTTATGTATTGGAACAGAAAAATATTTTCAAAATATATAAAAGAAAATGAAAGCAAGTCATCATAATCTTACTAGAAAACAAAAAGATCAGCCATTTAAAAAGTAAATAACACATTGCTTGAGAATTTATCATAATTCAGCTTGCCTCTCTCTTTTGGACTAGAGGGTTATTTGATAGGTTCTCTGAACTAAAGTAGTTATGGTGAATTTGGGGATAAAATAAAGGAGAGGAAAGTAGCAAATACGAAGAAAATTACAAAATCTATAATTACAAATTACAAAAACTTTGAGAAAAAGTAGTCAAAGGGATTTACATGACCATTTTTCCCTATCAAAGATAATGCCAAACAATACAGAGATATTATCCATACTAATCGCCCTTTTTTTTTTTAACAGTTTGATTTATTTATTTATTTTTTTGTGAGGAAGATCAGCCCTGAGCTAACATCCATGCTAATCCTCCTCTTTTTGCTGAGGAAGAC